GCCAACAGATTGCTAGAAGACAAAGCACACAAATGCAACAGAGCAGCCAGCAGGCTCAGCAGTGGGACAATAATCTATCTGTACTTCAGAAGCATCTAAGACTAAAGGTTAAAGTGCCCAAACAGTCTGCATGCATACAAAAACACACCCGACGCTGCCAGCCACTCCACCTTCCATATCTGTATATCTGCACACAAACAAGACAGCTCAGTGCTACTCCTGGGCAAAGTAGTACCAAAATCCCCCTTATCTTCCAACAGAAAACCACTTTTTATAGAGGTGCTCTAAAAAGTTAATAATGTAGCAAGCCATTCTCTGTTTCTGAGGAAAAAAAGAAAAGCAGTTGCCTAATCATGTCCACTTTGCTTCTAAATGATTTGCTACTACCACTGAGCAACTAAAGCTGAACTAGCTGAACATTGGATCTTCAACAATATAAGTTTTTAATTACTATCCCTGACATATACACTTACTACCAATACTGATGTGGCACAGAAAAATATTCACTGGATCATACTGGTTGTTCTCTTAAATTATTTAGCCAGTCTTCAAACTCTACTACATAAAATCTGATGACTATCAACTGATGAAATTAAATGGTCATCCAAAATGATATCAGAAATATAGAATAGTCATTTCCTTTTACACACCAAAAGTCATCACTCACCTTGGAGATCTGTATTATCAATGTTAAAAGAAATGAAACATAAGAAAATGTGTAATAGAAAAACTCAGTGTAATGCACAAGTACCCTTTGAAAAAGCTATTTTAAAATTCTTAGCCTAATTATATTCACTATAATAGTCACTACTGAAAGGACACACTACATTTTTGTAAAAGAGCTACTGAAAAAAGGGCATTAATCACAAAGATTTTCTGCTTTTTTACAACCATTGGATATTTCCTCTCTGACATGTCTTCCACCCTGAGATACAAATTTAGTGCATCTGCATTACTTAGAAAAATACTGCATGTTAATATTTTCCCTCCTACTCAACATGTTAAACACAAATAATGCTTTACTCCACTGTGATTCATTACAGTTTGTTTCACATGAAATCTGAATTGCTGAAAGAGGTTAATATCTTTGTCCTGAAGTAAAAAAGGAGCATTAAAGAAACAAGCCTTTCATAGATGTGCACTGGAGAGCTGCAATGATAAGAAAGCAAGGAAGGATGACTCTGCAGTTTATTTTTTCTGGCATAAAGGTAAAATTTTAGCTTTGCAGGTAGTTATCCAGGGAAATAAACACATACATCCAAAAACCACAGGAACAAAAGAAAGAAAGATGATGGGGGTCAAATGGAAATACTCTGTCAATTTCTCTATGCACAGATTTGCTGAGATAGATGACCTAATTTTTTATTATCTTTCTTGATATTTTGCCAAGTTGCATCTATAATTTTTCTTTGCCAAAGCCAAACCAGACTATTAGTGCCTAATACCTTTGATGTAAGAACTCAGATAGGCATCCAGATGAAGAAAAGCAAACCCAAGTTGCAATGCCAAGATCAAAAGACAGCCAAAAGAAGAGATTATTGATTTATTCTTTCATAGTTAACAGACAGATGGCATATACACTGGCATAAACTGAATTTATTCTTCATTACTTCAGAGCAACAATGAAACATTGTGCCTTTACAGTCACTTTACATTAAATTTTAACTTTTCACAAAGCAAGACCTCTGGGGAAGGAAGTAAATCTTTCCATGGCAAGCAGAGAAATCACAAGCTACAGCACCAACTTGAGACAGTTTTGAGGTTGGAAGTATCAGGAAGGAACTGTGTATACAAGCTGTATATACTGAAGAAGCTATGACTAATTCCTATCCTCTAGGATGACATTCGTTGGTTCTCCAAGCTAAGAACTCCCATAAGCTCACAAAAGCACACATGTAGCCTCATCCCTGAATTGCAGTCTTACTTTTAGTGCCCTTCTCATTTCCCAATCATCATAGATTTTTTTTTTAAGCTATTTGCTAACTTGCTCACCATATGCCTCTGTTATCAGGGATACCCTGATAACAACACATTTTTATGATGTTTATTCTTCATCTCTGATAATTCAACCAAAGCTTTCTTTTTTCCCTCCAAACTGGCTCAACAGCCAAACAGCAACTCAAGCAGATGGAGCATTGCCCATTTTCTTTGTCTACCTACAAACACAAGCAAGGAGAATAGACATAGTTCCAACACAAAAATTCAACTACCACTGACACTAAAACTGCATATTGACATGAAGTTTCAGTACCTGCTCACCAAAAGATCTGCCAGAAATACCTTCCAATAGTTACTGTCTCAAATTCTGGTTTGAAAATTTGTGCTTTGACTTGGACAACTGTGCTTGGGAAAAGAAGGGCAAGCCCAGAAATTATATCTGAGCAATAAGATCCTTCAGTCTTTTAAAAACCTAACAATTCCCCAAACCATTTTCTAACATAGCCTACAGCACTACATTTTCTCCCACTAACAACAAAAATTTTTACTTTGATTCTCACAATGCTCACTGGAAAGCAGTTTGCCACAGTGATACTGACATAAGAAGTCATCTAAACATCTTTGCATGTAGCACCACCCAATCTGCCAAATGCACACTCTCCTGCCACTGACACAGACTATATCACCCTCGCCAGATGCTCTAAAGCTGGGACAGTTTCAAAAATCACAGCAGCAGAAATCAGCCAGAATCTTCTACAGTACCGTGAATACAAGCAACTCAGTGCTGACCATATTATGAGGAGTGTATTTTCATGTGCTACCTGCTGCACTAACAGCATGACCAAAGGCAGAGACAGCCTATTCACCAGTGGACTCACTGGCTGGCATCAGAGGAGATGGACAAGAAACAAAGCCAGAAATTACTCCACTGAATATGCTCTCAGGAACAAGAATTGGAGCAAGTTCTCTTTAGGAGTTACCTGCAAAATGATGCAACACCTGTCGTGTCAGGAATTCAAGCCACTCTAAAGAAAGTGTTTCAAATGTCTTCCTATCAAGCTAGTGTAGTGGCAGTGTTTGCAGCTACGCTATGTGCTGCTCTGTAACTGGGGAGTTTGCTGTGCTCAGAAGGGGGCTTGGCAAGGGCACTTCCACAGAGGGAGGTGTATTTTGAATGGCGCTGGACACACAGAGAAATTTTGGAAGACAAGGCTCTGCCTACTCTCCTAGGGGCTGCCAATTCCATTAGGGTATAATAGGTTGCTTTGACTTTGCTCTCAGCTGAACAGACACAGTCAGAAGTGCCAGAACATTTGTCTGTGGAGCGTGTGAATCAGCAGCATTTTTGTTCCTGGTGAAGCTTCTTGCTTTATAAAGAGCATTTCAGTTGAGGTCTTCTGAAGAAAAAAAGGAGAAGTGGAAGACTTCCTCTGCTTGCCACGTAACATAGAGGGGGTTGCTAACCTCAGCTGAACTCAGCAAATACTTAATGTCTGTCAATGTATTTCCCTGGTTTGGACAAATCCATCTTGGCTTTGCTTATGACAAATGAAATAATACAGAGTAACTTTTTAAATACACTTTGTTACCCCCACCCAGACATCGTCTATTTCATTATCTTCTACACATCTGATTTTGCTTTTTCCTTGTGCAAATTGAAAGAATGTAACTTACCAATTACTCTCTTATGTAAACAAGTGTGAACTTGTACACAGCAGAGGAGGCTTGGACAGGCACAACATCTACCAAACAGTTTTTAGTACCATACCAACTTCCCCGTTTTTCAGGCAAGAGTTCCTTTTAATAGAAAAGGTGTGGCCTGTACTACTCACAGCAAGACTTCAAAGACTGATTTACACTCTTATGTTCATATCAAATGTTTTCTGGATCTTATGTCTCGCCTGTTTCAGCTCAGCATCGGTTGAAATAATTCGTACTTTTTTTTCCCCCACTTGTCTTGCATCATCGAAACTATCAAATGTTCTCAAAGGCCTGCAATGGATCTTCTAAATAGCTGCATTTTTGTCTTTGCTGTAAACCGATCTTCCCCCACCTTTATGAACAAGAATGAAGGCTTTGGTTAGGGTTTTTTTAAGCGCTGTCTCGACAGTTTTCCACATCACACCCGCCATACAAAGAACCTCAGTCTTTGGCCAACCCAGGTTTATGAATGGCCACATTGTACATCGCATTCTTAAGCCCTCCTTCTTCCAAGATGCTGGAAGCCGAGGGCTCACGGCGGAAGAGCCTCCAGACGCCCGGTCCCCTCCGGAGGGGCTTCCTGGCCTTCCCCAGAGGAGCCCCCACGGCGCCCCCGCCGGGCTCCACGGCCGGGCTGCCGCTGCGCTACCGGGCTCGGACCGCCGCGCCCTCCGCCCCGCATCCCTCCCTGCCCGGAGCAGGGAGCCCCCCGTCCCGCCTGCCGCTGCCGTCCACTGCCACATCACCATGGAGCTCGGCCGCTGCTTCCTTCCTTCCTTCCTTCTTTCCTTCCCTCCGCTCTCCCCCCGCCCACCCACCTGCCCACAGACGCGCCGCACGCCCGCTTACCCAGCTCGGCACCCTGTTGCTCAGTTTGACTTTCTTGCACTGGCTCTCGGGCAGCTCCATGGCCGCGGGGGCAGCGAGAGGAGGAGGAGGAGGAAGGGAGGAAAACGCGCCTTCCCGACTGATGCTCGGCGAGGATGAAGCCGCTGCCGCCGAGGAGCTGTGCCGTGTGCGCACACCCGCGGCTCCGCCAAAGGTGGTGCAGGGAGGAGCCGCGGCCCGGCGGCAGAGAGGGAGGGAGGGAGGGAGGGAAGGAGAGAAGGAGGCAGGGAGGGAAAGGGAGAGGGAGGGGAGAGGAGGGGAGGGGAGGAGAGGAGAGGAGGGAGGGAGGGACGGCGGCAGGAGCGCCACATGCGCGTGCGCCGCGCTGTGACGCGTGCGGGGGGGCGGGGGCCGCGCGAGGCGCCACTTCCGCCGCCGGTGCCGCTGTAGATACTGCTGTCCCTGTCCGTGTCCCCGTCCGTGTCCCTGTCCGTGTCCCTCTCCTTCTCCACGTCACTGCCCTTGGCCATGGCCTGCCCGTGTCCGTGCCACTGCTCGCGATCTGGCCCTGCGCCCACCAACGCAGCTCGCCTCGTTCGAGAGGACATAGTCTTGAGCTATGAAAAGAAGACATAGTCTTGCGATGCATCAAGGGAGGTTTAGGTTGGATATTAGGAGGAATTTCTTCACAGAAAGGGTGATTAGACGTTGGAATGGGCTGCCCAGGGAGGTGCTGGAGTCACCGTCCCTGTAGGTGTTTAAGGAAGGGCTGGGCATGGCACTTGCTGCCATGGTCTAGTTGACAAGGTGGTGTTGGGTCTCAGCGATCTCAGAGGTCTTTTCCAATCTAATTGATCCTGTGCTTCCCAGCCACTCTCCGCTACGATATTAAGCTTGGGCGGCACAGTGGAGGTGTTCTCTCTTATGTGTGGTGCTCCCAACCTTCTCCAGTATTGCACAGAGGAGAGGCTGTTCCGCCCCTCAGGAAAAGCTGTGGGCCAGGGGAAGGTGTGGAGTGGCTGTTGCGTTATTCTGTGGCAGGGCAAGCTAAAGACACAGCCAGAGCAGAGCACTCTTTTCCCTGCCTTTGAAGTAAGATGGGGCTTTGCTGAAAAACCTTAGCTTGGAGGTGATGAAACTGAGAAGCAGTAGAGTTGGCATCAGTGGTGGTGCTGTCATGAGTGACTGGAAAGGCATGGACTGTTTCGATTGAATCTCCCACCTTACAAAGATCTTCCCAGCAAACAAAGCTAATCCCGTGCTGTGCTCTAGGAATTGTCTCTTATTGTGAATTTAGAACCAGAAGTTCTTGGGTTCTTATTTCCAGAACTGAACTGCTCCAGCAGTCAGATGCTAATCTTAAGGTGGAGACGATGCCATGCTAACAGGAGTGGCATTTGCTGTATAAATATTAGCCCATTTATGTTAGCTTAAGGAAGGAAATCCTTTAGCACTTAAGTGCTAAAGGTGGAATGGTGCTGTAATTACAGGAATTACATGTACTGTAAAAACATTAGTCTATCTGTCTTGTAACGTGTTTGTTCTCTGATGATTTAAACAGAAAATAAAAAGGCCCTCTTTGTGGATCAATGTTTACTCCTGCTATATCAGAAAGACATCCTTCCAAAGAAACTAAGGTGTTGGTTTAAAAGCATGTATAGATATTCTGATTAAAAGCTTAAAATCCTTATGCAAGGTAGATGATGTCTCTGAAATCAAGAAAAAATAGTTGGAAACGCTCTCAGGCAATTTAAAGGTCGGATGGAATGAATACAATGTAACTAAGAAATTTAAAAATTGCAGTTGTTTATTTAGGCTTGACTAGAACATTATACCACATGTTGTCCTGCAAGTAACTGTTCAACAGATGGTCCCTGGCTGTGTTCTGACCATGACAAACAATGACAGAGCCAACGCCTGGATTTTAATCAGCAAAATCTCCCACACAATGATCTCCCAAGCATGGAAAGAGAACCAGCACAGTGCTGTGGAAAGGTGAGTTAAGAGCTTCCCCCTGTTGACTATTCAGTTACGTCTAGGGTGTCCTTGGTTACCTGTGCTTTGCACAACATTGTTTTAGATGGCTTGAGAGTAATTCTCCAAGTTATTTGTGGTCACATTCTTTTTAAAATTCTACTGTTATTTTATTATAATTATATTGATGAGATAGGTACTGTTCATTCTGCAGTCTGAGAGACAACAGAGGAAAGACGGTGGTTTGCAAGAGATGTAAATTAAATCCAAAATAAAGGCAGCCCACCTAATTATGCAGCAGTGACTTCTTACAGGTCCATTTGGCTCCCTTGTAATACTCACTCATTGGCTGGGAGCAAACCAACAGATTTTTTAAAATGGTCTGCATAGGAGTTTTGCTTTGGTCAGCTGCTTGCCAGCAAGGAGTCCCATCCCATCATGGGATCTTTCTTGCCACCTACTTGCTGAAGAAATGTTGTTGGATTCTGATTTGAAGGTTCAAAAAACAAGGCTTTGAGCACAAGTGAAGTTTTAGGCAATGGTATTTAGAGTTTGAAAAATTGAAAGAGAAGAAAATGCTGTTGTATTAATTAGCCTGTACACACAATACCGCCCAAACAGATTGAAGGCAGGGAGCTGCATGATTCCTTCCAGAAAATGTTGAAAAAAACCTGATGAATGGACCATATACTAGTGAAATGTGAAGTATGTCTGCAAATACACTTTTGGTCAGACAATGACATAATCTTAGAGGTGATAAAAAACTGTTTCTGAACAGCAATTCCTAAAACAGATCATGTTTTATGATTACACTAACATTCTAAAATAATGTATACATATATATGCATATATAGTATGGTAGAATATTATAGTAAAACCACACATGTAGATAAGGTACATCACAGAATGGAAGGAACCACCACTACAGTGTTTCACCAGACATCCTGTCCCAAGATGTCAATTGAAATAACAGAGATAAATCAAGCTTTAGGATTCAAAATATTCAAAAACATTGGCTATTAGGAAAAAATTCTTCACTGAAAGGCTGCTCAGACATTGTAACAAGCTGCTCAGGGAAGTGATGGAATCACCATCCCTGGAAGTGTTCAAAAATGTGTAGATGTGGCACTTGGTGACATGGTTTAGTGGTGCTAAATGGCATGGCAGTGTTGGGTTAACATTCGGACTCATTGAACTTACAGGTCTTTTCCAACCTCAATGATTCTATGATTCTATAAGATTATTTTGAATAGCTTCCAGACATCAATTATAATATAAAAGGAATGTCTGAATTAGAATTGACTACAGACTAGAGATGAAGTATTCTCTAATAATTTTGTTTAATACTTAATGGTTAAACACTGACCACCTACTTATATATGACTGATATACAAACTTAGAAATGCCTTATCTATAAATATTACCTTTAAGATGCATATTCTCTTATTTCTAGGAAGAAAAACAGTATTAATGAAGCATTCTCTAGAATCCACCTACAGTTGTCACTTACAATAAAATGAATGAGAAATTAGGGGAGAAATTAATTTAATATTGGATTTGTTCCTCTGGTAAGCATAGTGATCAAACTCTGTTGACATGTCATGCTCATGTAAAGATGCATCTATTCTTTTTTTTTTCTTGCAAAATATCCAGAGCAGAGTAACTCAGGTAGTCATGCAGGCTGTCTGCAGTTTTGCTCCCTTTTTTTTTTTAAGATGGCATTTTCATTGTAGATTATGCTGCCTACATAGAAAAGGCTCATCACTGTTCTGTCAGCAGTTTCCAAACTTTATTTCTCATATAAATCATTCTTCTTTTGACACCATTCTAGTAAGCAAGAACTTTAGAATGTCTTTTAAACAGATTAAACATTTTGTTTAAGTTCCATTCAAATATCTCTCAACACTAGAAATAGGGCCATGAAGCAATCTCTAATGGCTTTTAACCATAAACTCCTTATTCACTGGTCTCCTGTTGGAGGTGCTATTTTTCCTCTGTCACCAGGTTTGTGTAGTGGAAATGATGACCGTCAAAAGCTACCTGAGATTAACAAAATTATCATGGGGATACTTCCCCTGTAATGCAGCTTGGGTTGCAGACATGATGTGCTCCTCTACATTCAGAATAAAATATAGGAAGTCCTGTGTAAGTCCCATAGGTCAAAGATGGGAATAGAGGAGATATTTCTGGGAACCTGTTTTCTGTCTTTAGCAAAAGCTTTTTATAAATTCTTTAATAATTGGACTGATACGTATGTCCAGCAGAACAGTGTGGTGCAGCTGTTTAAAGAAACCACAAAGAAAGATCAGCAGAAATGCTGATAAAAACCCTGAGTGATGAGAATACCACTTGTTTTCTGACATACTGCTGAATGTTTAACTCGGGCTTCTTTTCATGTCCCACAATACTGAGGATTAGAGCTCTCTTCCCAATTATGTTGCAAGTATTACATCTGCTGAGTTTGCTCTTTAGACAAATAAACTCACTCCATGTGCCCTCAGTGTTCGGAATGAAGTGGTCTGTTTTGGCCAGAAGTGAGAGATGATGGTTGGTGGCCAGTTTCAGGTAATACAATGATGTTATGAGAAGCTGAACAGATGTCATCAAGGTACACAGGATATACTCAAGGCTGTGTTGGACAACGGAAGGGTGTCTCTGACAAAGGTCAAAGAGGTAGATTGAGGAAGGTATTGGCTAGGAAAGAGAAACAGCTAGGGGCAGTGCAGATGCTAGAACTCGGGCTTAAAACTTCTGCAGAGTTCCCAGGGTGCACACATTGTAAGGTGAATTAAAACACGATTTTAACGGTGACAGAGGTAAATTGCATAGAGCTCAGTTTTGAAAAAATTGGATCCTTATGCTCCATCTTTTGCAAAAAATGCGCGTCTCCTCTATCAAGCTGGCATTTCAACTGGTGTAAAAGCTGTGATGAATGACCACTAGAGGTCATTCATAGAATAAGAAATAATTCAGGCTTTCAATTGGCTGGTTTGCTGACCTGGCATTTGTTTTGTTCTTTGTCATTAACATAAAGAAAGAGTGAACTTTACAAGAGAGCTAAGTACTAGATTTCTGAAGATAACTGACTATCCATGTTCTCCACAGGTCCTCAGTGATTGTAGGTAGCCCTATGTGACTGCTGACATTTTCAGGAGTGCTAATGAATTTGATTGGAAACTAGACATACACCTAGAAACCTGAATACTTTGCTGTGTGCTTCTTTATGTGTTTAGGTAATTAACACTTTTAAAAAATTTGGTCCTAATTCCAGTGTTCAAAACTTCAGAAATATTTATCTGTTTGACAAATGTCTATTTTCCACATATTTTAAATTTAGGTACTATATAGATTCACCCTGTCTTTGGCAGATAGAAGAAAGGAAACGTGTACTGTTTATTTAAACATCATCTTTGGCAGATAGAAGAAAGAAAATGTGTACTGTTTATTTAAATATCAGGAGTAAAACTCATAAACTCTAGACACAGGGATCTCTAGTGAAGCAGAACTAAAGACAGTACAACTTTGAAGGTGTTTTCCCCTTTCTATTCCTATTAAAGCCTCTGTTCAACATTTGAAAAAAAATACTTGGTTTTTTTCCCTTTCTTTTTCCACATCTCGGCATGTGACATTAAATGTGGGGGAAAAAATCTCGTGCCAAACCTGTAAATAAGCTAAACCTGGTGGGATCTCTAAAGTAGGAATGGAACAGAAGAAGGTTATCAGGCAGGAAGATCAGAAGATGCTTACAGAAGAAAACTAGAAGGATCAGCAGTTACACCTCCTGTCAGGTGAGCAAAAGAAAAAGAAGTTCTATGCAACAGTTCTTATCCTAAAGCCAAAGAAGGACGAGCACTTCTTAGCTATGATCCTAGTAGGAGAGACAAGCTGAGAATGAAAGTGAATATGAACTAACAGTTTGTTTTCTTAGGGATGAGAACATACAGAGGACTTTCACTCTTGTCAACAATCCTAGGACATAATGTCCCTAGGGCTGTTTTTGCCAAAGCACAACTGTTGAAAAGGAAGTTCCTTCCAAGAGTAGATGGTTTTCAATTAAATAAATACATTGTACATAAAGATTTGCCAAGTAATTTCTAATGTCTCTGTACTATGGAATTGCTTTCTCACCAGGGACAAGTATTCTACCACTTTGTTTGCTACTCACTACATACATAATTTATCTTAATGATTGTTTTTGTCATTAGAATTCAAACAAATTTTATTTAATGAGGAAGGCCCTTTCTCAGAATTATTTGTAATACAATTGGAAAGTGAGCCATTAGGGTGCTTTTCAATAATTTATTGCTCTCGGCATGCAAATCCACCTCCTAAGAATAACATGTTTAGGAGAAAAAGTATCTATCTCATCTTGAACACTAAATAGAGAGCTGTATCACACACATACCCACTTGTTGGAAACAACTGTAGTAGTCCCACTATCTGATTGCCAATGCAACCATTGCACATTTTGAGAATCTAACTGATGTTTACCCCAGGAATTATTTCTTCTGAAGAAATCTTCAGAAAAGCTACTTTAGTTGGCTTTAGGTACCAGTTGGTTTAGTTAGCAGTTTTGGCAAATCCACATAATTTAAAGTTCCATTTTTTTCTAAATGGAATTAGCAAGTTCCGAGATAATTTTTAAAAAGGATGTTGCCCACAACTTTAAAAGATGGGAAAAACATTCTGTATGAAAAGTGTTAAAAGTGTTGTACACATGGATACTAAAAGATAGATTAGTGAGTTGCCACAGAATCACTAAGCTTTGAAAGATAGCTTTGTAAGAATAACTGCTGAAAAAGTAAATTAAAGGTTTCCAGAAAAGTATGGTCTGCTCATTAGAAAACAGGACAAGGATCATGAAATGAACCCTGGGAGGAAAAAATAATTTATACTTTGTACCTCCAGTATTTGTTGTTCAGTATCAGACCTGTTGACATAAGTTTTGGAGGACTACCCAGAACTACTAAATCCATGTAGATGCTAACCATCCTTGAAAAATGAGTGCTTTTAATAGGTCTGCAAGATTATTACATGACTAAAGATTTTCGGCTTGTCATTCTGTGTTTCAGTTTCTCATCCTATAACATATGAATAATCATTCTTTTTACTGTAGCTGCTTAATTTGAGGAAAAGCCTTTGAAACCAAAGACTTTTTATATACTCTAAATATTACTATATGGATACATTAAATAAAGTTATTCTACCATGGTGGCACTTAACTAGTACAGAATTATAAAATATATTTTGGTGGAGAACACCTAAGGGCCAAAGTTAACAGAGACTCAACACATTTCTGGTTCAGTTCAAAATGTGCTTAAATCCAGCAACTCAAGAACAGGAAAAACCCTTCTCTGATCTAAAATATGTAATCAAGCTACAGACATTTTCCTAAAGGCTAAAAGTACTGAATTATTTACCAGATGTGCCACTCTGAAGCAGCTTTAACTGAAATACTTTCTTCTAGACATCTCCAAGGAATTTAGAATTCATCTTTTCCCAGAATAACTGCTTCAATCTCCAGTGGGGTGCATAGCCAACCAGCGTTACAAGCAGAGATGTTGCATGTTTTCTTGGTGATACCTCACCCCTAGAGCTGGTCACTTCCTGTGCCCCCCCTTCTGGTTAAAGGTGGCAGCAGCAACAGTTGGTTGTTAACTGACAGCTAACCTGGTTCCCAAGGAGCAATTTCTCAGTCCAGTGCCTCGGACAGATGCTTGTCTCAGCGTGACTTTACCATGGCTTTGGTCAGAGTGATACAGAGAACAGCCTGTGAAGTGCTTGTACCACGATCTCTCACTGACTCAAGTTGAACAGATGATTAGTGCACTTAATCAAATCAAAAGGAGCTGAAGGTTTTAGCCCTTTTTAAGAGGCTTTCAGCCCAGTAGCTAACAGGATCAGTCTCTAAATGCTTGAGTAATAATTTATTTTCTTTTATTCCCTTTGATGTCTGAGAACAATGCTCTTTGCCATGCTGACAAACACACTAGCAAAATTGAAATAGAAGAAAAGCAGCAAAAAGTGCTGGAAGTTTAACTGTTCTTTCCTGTGGGTGCAGTCAGTTTTGGTCAGACACATTTATCTGGTCACCTTGACTCCTCTCTGACTCCTTAAAAATTTTCTCTTGTGACTATAAACAATGTAAAAAATTGGAGGAATAGTTTTATAAAGGTCTTGGAAACAGAGACCTTTCAGACCTTTTCAGCTTAAAAAACTCATTGGAGCAATCTTTTGAGTTACTCAAGTTCACTAACCATAGAGCTAAACAAGATCACAAGGATCACCCCTGAAAAAAGGTCTGGAATTATTCTTACTGTCTGAAAAAGACTGCAATATCTTGGACAAATTCTTCAACAAGCAGACCAGATGGGATTGCATCCAGAATCTGACATTTCATTCAGCGACAGCAGAAAATGATTCCAGGCTCATACCTGTCTTCTCACAAAGCTTAAATTTTGAACTGAGGGAAAAAATTCTGAAAATCATAACCCTAAAAACAATGCCTTGGTGGCCGTCAGAACAGGATATATTGAGTCAGGAGAAGAATAAAAAGAGGTCCTTTCATTATCATGCAAAGAATGGAGAGAGAAAAGGAGGCAAAGAAACTAGGAGAGAAGATATATTCCTGGCAGGAAAGTTTTTCTGAAATGTCAGCCTGTAAAATGTCTCAATGAATCATCAATTCATGACCACTGTAAGCATGTGTCCTTATCATGAATCTTTCTCTGTTGTAATATCTTGCTGCCTTAAACAGTTCTAATCTTATCATTATGGAAGAGGGGCTTAAAACTTAAAAAATAATAAGAACTAAGCTACAAGGGCATTTTCACCCAAACCAGGTAGAAGAACTGCAGGAAGAAGACCTGTAATATTGAACAGATATATGAGAAATAAATAACCTGGTTTTATTATAAGCAAATGAATTTAGTGGAAAAACAGAAGGGGGATGGGGTTTTCTTTTTCATTTAGTTCCAAGGGTTTTTTTAGGCATATCGCGAAAGCTGTAAGGTGGAGGGTCCTGTCTGGGCCTGACGCCAGGGAACCTTTGAGGCCGAGAATAGGGAAAAGTGTAAAAATAAAAATGTATCCTCTGCCACGTGGCCATCCATTGTGTATGGAGAGACCCCCTGTACTGTACAGAGGGGTACATCACAAATCAATCAAGAGGGAAGGTAACACCCCCTCCTGAGTCTGAGAAATTACCTTTAAAGTAAAAAACTGGTGGTCACTGAATATGTAACAGCTTATGTAACCGAAAGAATACAAAAGGCGCGATTTTCAAACGGTTGTGTGCCTTTAGGTCCATGTGACTTGGAGCGCACCCAGCGCGCTGCAATAAAGAACTTCTCGCTACACTTTCCTTGTCCTACAGGTATATTTTTTCCATTTTTAAGTCTAAAGGAAGGATTTTTCCTATGGATAGACTTCTAGTAATCTGAAATAAAAATGTACATTGCCTTTAGATACTGTTTTCTAAACACTAAATCTGCTACCTTGTAAGTAAAGACAGATCATATTTTAGTTCTTTTGTGGCTCAGTAAGTCTTTGCCTTCACATCTATTTTATGCCCAGAAAACTGAAATATAGCCCCAAATGTCAAAGTCTTCTCGAAAGTGTGCTTTAACAAAAAAAGCCTGAAGAGCCGACAGCAGGCACAGGAATCAGATTGTTGAACTGTACATTCGGTTTCAGAAGGGAGCATTAAAGTTTGCACCTCCCAATACAAACACAAATGAAGCACCTGGAGTCTCTTCAGACTCCAGAAGCTTAGCACATACCAGGCCCAGTGGACTGAGAGCAAACAGCACACTGGTAAGTGTCCAAGGGACAGACTGACCTGGTTTGTGGCAGCATTAACTCATGTATTACATTGTGTTTCACTTGGTCATAAGAAGTGTGACTGCAGTTTGTTTGACCTTTCTAAATCTTTATAAAGGTTAAGTCTGTATATGGCCCTTGAAACCCATGGTTTAATATGTATTTATTTGCAAGTTGATTCCCACAAAGGACTCAGGTAACGTTCAACAGAATGCCTAATAGTAATTAGAGAAACCTTAGGAGATTAATTTATTATTACTCAGAGTTGGATTGTAATGATATAAAATAGAGTTGTGAAGGAAAAAGAATGCTTCAACAGTGTGCTTTTGTTCTCTAGAAAGCTGTACTGCAGAACAATTTTTGAGGATGTTACAGGAGAAAGAAAAATAAAGCTCACAGTACTTTGAAAAAAAAGACAACATTTGAATGGGAGGAACATCTGAATAGGAAGCAGAACAGAAGAAGTTAAATAAGGTAGAAAACAAAGAAAGCTTTGAATTTGTAAAGCAAGGTGTACCTCTGCCAGATTCATCAGTGTATTCTTATCCAAATTTTCCTTTATACAAAGCCTCTTATCTTCTGTTAG